AGGTGATCTATCTTTTTTTTTTTTTTTTCAGAATATCTGTCACCGACATTATCTGTAAATCAAAACCTCGACAACCTAATCGTGTCTGTGAAATGACTCCACTGCCCCCACACGATCGTGGAATGCCTCTGAAACCTCTGCTTGTTTTCTTCTCTCATTCTTTCCAAAACCTCCACGTGTCTGGGTTATATTTTTGAATTAATTATACAAAAATTGCCATTCTTCTTTTAAGCTTGAATTGTGAGTTTGGTAATGAGCTAATTTATAGAGGATACATAAGAAGGTGTAGACAAGAAAATTAATTAGCTACAATATGTAGGTGTTAGAATAGTTGGGTTAGCTGGGAATTAAAAAGGAACTTTATGATAGAATATGCACCTTTAGATTATAAAATAAAGTTTGGATTGGACTAAGGAGAAATATCAGATAAAAGAAATATGTAAATGATCATCAAAATATATAGAGGAGAAATGGTTTTCAGCATGTGAGTTTGCGCGCAGAAAGAGAACTTTACAGGAGGCGGGAACCTGGTAAGGTGGGGTTTTTGTCACGTTTCTTTCTTTACTTCTTTTTTTTAAATGATTATTTTACTTCTTATGTAACATTAATAATTATACTCGTGTAGCACTTGCGCTATCTCTCTCCTTGGTGATCGGTGATCCTTTACCATATTTTTTAGTAAGAAGATTGAAGATGGGGAATATGTTTGTAGATGTGAGGCATATGCTAAGCACAGACGCCTTCTCAGTCGCTACATTCACGATGCATCACGTTTCATGTCTCGATTTTTGCCAAAAAAAGAAGAAAAAAAGAAAAAAAACAGTTTACTTAGCTTGGTTAAAAACTTGAAATGAACTCCAGCCCTAGAAGTATATATAATAACCAAAGTCAAACAAGAGGAGTAAACCAGATGCCCATTTGATGAGGATGGACGACGGAGGACAGTGGACCCGTCATTAAACTGGTCTTGTATTTTTTTCTTTTTTTTTTTTTTCATTGCTTCATTTTCGTCTTGAGACTATTATTGTCTTTCTCTTCTTCATTTTTCATTTTTCGTTTTTCATATAGAGTTTGTAATTCTTGGTATGAGGCTATGAGTTTTTCCTTACTAACAATTAATCAAAAAAAGTCCTTAAATGACACTTCCAAAAAATGAAAATGAAAATTGATAGATCTGATGTTACGTCTGGTGTTCCAGATGATGTTGAAACACTGTCTCGAACACGGTTTAATTAATTAAGATCCGGGTTAATTACGTTCAGTTGCTCGAACATAATAAAATGCATAAAGTAAAGGAACACACAATATAATTTCGCAGTTCGGTGCGCACACCTACATCTGTGGGGCCACGCCCAGACAATAAATAATTCACTATGTTCCAGAAATTACAGACACTAGATGGACTTATTCACTCAAGGACTCCTTCCTAGACAATGACGCCGCTGTGACAAACCTCCACAGTGATTGTTTAGTGTGCACCACACGTCTTCTATTCACCTGACAAACTCGTTTCGACTGGCAGAGCTTCCTCCCAAAAGCAACAAATCCCTTTCCCGAAAGACGATCTCAATAACACACAAGGCTCACAAAAATTCACAGACGTCTCTTTGAATATTTTCTCCGAAATAAGCTCTCAAATTCACAGATTTTTCCTCTAGAGATGTTCTATTATATCTATGTGACATATACTCTGAAACAAATTATCTTCTCAATCTCCAATTCAAATTATGCAGTAAACTTTCAAATCTGAATTAATTATCTTTGTTGCAAGATAACACTTGATCTTCGAATGCCTTATCTTTCATTATAGCAAGTTATATTTGGATTTTCTTTGACTAAGTCAAATTTCAAGTTCCAATCACATGTGCAGCTCAAGCTTAATCTTCTTTGTGTAGCTCACGTGAATGCATATATATATATATATATATATATAAACTATTCAAATTTGAAATCTCTAATTTTGAACAACTCCTAATAATATTCAGATGAAGCCAAGAATTCGAATCCAAAAACACCTTGATCTTCATGCAAGCTTTATCTCCCATTCAAATTCATATCTCCTTTATCTTCCACGTTTATAGCCTTTCCAAATCCAGATAATTATCAGTTTAAATTCTCCACATAATCTTTTTGATCCTTATCTCTTTCTAGAATCTAATTTAAATTCAAAGAACTAATGCTTTATCTTTCTTTGACTAAGGCCTTATCTCTTCAAATTTGATTCTGAATCTTCTTATGCAATATAAAACCTTCTTGAACTTATTTTTTTAAATTTTTATAATATTGCTAATAAATTACCAACTAATAAAAATACCTAACAAAAATATATTTCTTTCTTTTTTGTGCCCTTTTCTACAGGAAGTCAGGAACCCTGAAAATGTCTCTTAGCAATATAGGTGGAGTCGTAGACATCTATTATGTAATATTAATTTCTAGGTTTCTCTTGTTTTTTAAAGATTCCGTCATTTTTCCAAACATTTTTGTCTTTTAATTTTTCCCTATGTTTTATGTCGTTTTAGTAGAATAATGTCATGTTATGATATTTCTCATCTTAATAATAATTAAGTTGCTTTTTTAAAGTTGTTGCTACTTGTCTTCTTCTCAGAAGTGTCATTTAATATTTCGTACCTCTTAAAATACGTTGTCGTCAACCAGAGACGCGTCAAGAAACAGCTGTTTGAAGAGCTGAACGTGACAATTATTTACAGGATACAACACAATGAAAATTGGAAAGCAATAAAGCAGAGGTATTCAGAGTGTGGCTACTACACAAATATTTATTTAAGGCCAAGGTGTATTTGATTGAGAAAAAGAAAAGAAAAGATAAAAAAGAAACCCGGCCATAGGAACGAGCGTTCCAGTCTTGGTTCTCAGAAACATTGAGTCGTTTTAATATGCTAGCTGTTGTTTTTATAGTACTTTTTTCCTGCAATTCGTTCTCCATTTGAGATTTGGTCGTTTCCTTATGTTGTCATCGTTTGTTTGAGATATTATCGTTATAAATTTTACTATTTTTAAAGCTGTTGTCGAGTTTAAGTTGTTATAGTCATTTACTTGGGATGTCGTATCTTTCACTGGAAGACCAACATAACTACACATTGTTGTTGCTTTCAACGATGCGATCGTTTTTATAGAATTTTGTCACTTTTCAATTGCATTGTCGTTTCTAGTATGTTGTCGTTTGGACGCTTTTTTTTTTTTTTCGTGGCATTTTCTAAGGTTTTGTATTTATCAAGTCGTTGTCCTTTTTCTACGTGGTTTCCAATTGTTCTCTCTTTCAAATTGTTTTCGTTTTCAATAAAACTGTCGTTTTGGGAAGGTTTGTCGTTGTTTAGTCTTTTGTTTCGTAAATCGCTTATATGATTTTGTAATGTTTCAAATATTATCGTTTCTAAACTTCATTGTTATTCACTTTGATATGGTCGTTGTATGTTACAATACAATATGATAGTACAATGTGACATGATCATGAATATGTGTTGCACAAATGTTTTAAACCAAAACTTCCCAAATTTTTAAGGCATATTTGCAAAAATGGTACATTTAAAGTCTAATATTAGTAAATCTGTAAATGTTTCTAGTGTTGTTAAATTTAAAAAAAAAAATTATCGGATTATAATAATGTAAGAATCAATAATGTACAAGATTGAGAATTGGTGCACTCGGTATACGCTGATGAGCTAATGATTGATTAATCAACAATTTATCAAATATCGATGAAGGATTTACGAAAGTCATTTTAAAAAAAAAAAATTTCCTAATTTGACAAAACTAGGGACATCTACTTAAACAAAAGAATAAAACACTTGCATCTACGTGAAGAGCCTTTGCTATTATGTAATTACTAATTACTCATTGCCAGTTGCAATACAACTGTTCCAACAACTATTACCTTTTTTTTTGTTTTGTTTTTTTTTTGAGTCGTTAGCAGAAAGTAGTAATGGGCTATCCAACCCTCAGTCTGCAGTGATATCACCTTTTAGTCATTTGTAAGAAATGAATTTGTGTGGAGACTGGAATCGACGTATATGATTTGGACGTATGTGTAATATGGTATATTTTAGCTATATTTTAGTTGTACTCAATTATAATAAACACCACATGCAGGTAAAACAAAGCGTGTTAAAAAATTGAATATTATGGCTTGTGTTAATCATATCAAATTTTATCCGAGTTAGTCTTAAAAAAAACAAAACAAAAAGACGTTTCCTAGTAGCAGGGTGAAAATTGCCAAGATCAAGTAGCAGGGTGAGTTCTCAAGTTGCTTCGTTTTCTTATGATAGTGTCGTTTTCAATTATTCTCACTTTAAAATGGTTTTCGTTTTCAATAAAACTATCGTTTTAGGAATGATGTCGTTTTCGGGTAGTACAACTTAGTAAATATCCATAGTTTGTCAATTTAAACTCCCAGTTTTCAGTGATATCTCTATCAAATTTTGCTTTCCGGCTTCAAACAGGTCCTTTTCCAAAGACAAAGAGAGACAAAAGATGAGTAAGATTAAAGTTCTGGTGGGCCAACTTTTAATCCAAAATGAGTATAAATAATAATCCAAAATGATATAATTCGAAAAACTTTCTAATGAGTATAAATAATAGCTGTATGAAAAATATAAATTCTTAAACCTAATTACTCTAATACAAAATGTCAAACAATATTTAAGATGCAAGCAATGATGTTGTATAAAACTATAATCTAAAATCTTAGAACTTTATGATTTTTGCTAATAAATCATTTTAGATCATGAAAATATATGAGCACACAAAATTTACACGAACCCTTGATATGAAAAATGAGTCATCAAGACTTTAGGGGGGCATTATTATATTTTCATAATATCAAATGGGTTTTTAGGTTTGTCATTTTTGAAACACCTCGAGATATGCTTTTCAGCTTTAACAAGGCATTTGATGTGATGCAGGTACTCAATAAATTTCCTTCTCTAATATACTTGGGCTTAAATAGTTGCGGAATCCGCAACATTCACTTTCCTCGTGGTATTATGAATTCCACGTTCTTTGCAAGAATTCAAAGTCTTGATCTAGGGAATAATGAACTTAGAGGACCAATTCCTGATGTTCTACACAACATGACTGCGGTTAGAGTGCTTGATCCTTCAAAAAACTACTTTAATTCCACCATTCCACTGTCGCTGGTTAATTCTAAGAGCATTGTTGATCTCAATCTTGGGTGGAATGAGTTTGAGAACATTGAAGGTGGGATGTTGTCAATATTAAATAAGGCTTGTTCTCTTATAAGGTCATTGGATTTGTCTGGAAATTCATTTCTCGGTGATGTGTTAGGAAGTAACAAGAATTCATCAAGATGCCTCGTGTACCATTTAGAGTACCTAAGTTTAACTTCTGGTGGAATTAGTGGTGATTTGCCAGATTATTTAGGGCAATTGAAGGGTTTGAAGGAGCTTAATCTTACGGGAAATTCATTTTATGGTCCAATTCCATCTTCACTCGGGGAATTGTCAGGGTTGAGACGTTTACATCTTGAAAATAATCAATTGAATGGGACCATTCCACCATCGTTATGGAGATTGTCAACCTTGGAATATTTATCTCTTTCACATAATCAGTTGATTGGGTCCATTCCTGATAGTCTTGGGCGACTAGTAAACCTAGTGGAGTTTGACATTGCTTCCAATTCTTTGGAGGGTGTTATTTCTGAACGTACCTTTTCCAACCTTTCAAAACTGAAACATTTGGATATTAGTTCCAACCATCTAACTTGCAATGTGAAATCAGATTGGGTTCCTCCTTTTAGCCTCGACCACATTAACATGTCATCTTGTAGAATCAGATCAGAATTTCCCCGGTGGCTTCAGACACAAAAGGAAATATCAAAACTAGATATGTCGAATGCTAGCATCTCTGGTGGTTTCCCAGTATGGCTTTGTAACATGTCTTATCTTTCCTATTTGGATCTCTCTACAAACCAAATAAGTGGAAATCTTCCAACTTGTGATGTTGACAATTTTCATAGTTTAGAGGTGTTACGTCTGGGCAGCAACTTGATAAATGGTTCAATGTCAAGTACAATGTGTAATTTGGATAACCTGCTGCTTCTAGATCTTTCAAAGAACAATCTATCTGGGGAAATACCTGATTGCTGGGGATGGCAACAAGGATTATTTTTGATAAATCTATCATCCAACAAGTTCATAGGAACCATTCCAAGCTCGATAGGAAACCTTTCTTACTTGACATGGTTGCACCTAGATGATAATAGTCTCCATGGAGAGCTTCCTCTGACCCTAAGTGATTGCACAAGCTTAGAACTACTGGATCTTGGCGAGAATAAAATTTCTGGAAATATACCCTCATGGGTTGGGGAAAGCCTTTTATTATTAAGAATTCTCAAGCTTCGCAATAATACGTTCAGTGGTAGTATTCCATCACAACTATGTCGACTTTCCAAATTGCAGATATTGGATCTTGCGCTAAATAATTTGTCAGGAAGGATTCCTCATTGTTTTGGCAAGCTTACAGGTATGACCAAGGACAATGATGTGCCCCAACATAATATAACGCTTGCTTTTGGCCCTGTGGCTAGTGCACCTAGTCCGGCAATAATTGCAGCACCTACTCCATCAATTGTCGAACCACCGCCACCTGTTGCCCCGGCAACTATTGCACGAGGACCTGGTGTTGGCATAAAGAGAAGGTCTCAGTAGTGACGAAGGGGGCAACCCTTGAGTACACAACAACGCTGCTGTTGGTTGATAGTATGGACCTCTCAAGAAATAAGCTCGTCGGATGCATCCCCGAGGAGCTAGGTGCACTCTCCGGATTGCGTAATCTGAGTCTGTCGCATAATCATTTGTCCGGAAACATCCCAAATAGCATCGGCAACTCAAGTTAATCGAGTCACTTGACTTCTCAGACAACCAACTTTT